GGAAAGACCACAGCCACAAGTTGGCTTGTTGATCACCCACTCTAACAACTACTTGATTTTAAGACAACCGAAATTAAAACCACAAATGATTTCAATTCCACGGTACATATATCATTCCAAATGATTTCACTAAATAGCAGTAAAAATCGATGAAGGATTCCAAATCAACAATACATCATTCCAAAAAAAATTTGAAAACAACCAAAATTAACAGTGCAAAATTAATCTAAATAATTTACTGGAAAATACAACAATTCGGAAGAACAGGTGTTTTCCAAACATAGAAATAGAAGAAAGGTAAATTATGGTCTTGTTTGATGTTCTGCACATACTGCATTATCATTTCGATTTGGTTTGGTATGATTTGTAAACAAAACTGATGAAATATATTTTGAAGGAATAATTTGAGAATGAAATAGTGTTTGGCTATATTTTGAGATGATAAAGTACGATGTAATGGTATCTCCAAGAGATGTGCGTATTGTTGGAGTGAGTTGATGTGTGAGGGCATCTCCAAATGAAATGCTAAATGGTACCTATCAGCTATAAATATAGCATTATACCATTTATGCACAAAAAAACGAACTCCAATGAAGCAGCTAAATTCTAGCTGGAAGGGTAAAATCATACCTCCAAGTGGTATATATACCATGTACTGCAGACAATGTTGAAGGAAAAAATATTAAAATAATCAATAAACCATCAACAAATAAATACAAACCCCAATCGTAAAAGTGAAATTGGGTAGATATATAGTATCACCTAATAAAATATAATAAAATGCTCAATTTTAGATAGTATGGTTGAAGTAGGTTAGTAAAAATTGAGTTGGTATAGCACTAGTCATTAGATATTATAGATATAGCATCTCCAATTTCAGGTCTTAACCTTCGAGATGCTCTTAAAGTTGGTGTGTTAAAATATAAACAACTACTGTTGGAGTGAGTCATAAAAGGTGGTGTGCTACAGCACTATTAACCAGTATAATTTGTGAAAATATAGTAAATAATAGAAGAGCTACTGGAGATAGGTCTAACAGTCAAATGATGTTCAAATATGTTAGAAAACGGTATTTGGAAAAATAATTTAAAGATCAAAGTGATGTTTTTTTTGTTTTCTTAGTGAATGATATTTTTTACTGTACTAGTTAAATATTGTTACTGTAACCCTAAATTCATATGAGATGATTAAAAAAATAAAAAAAAAACCCTTTAAAATTGTTGAGAAAATAGTTAAAAGAGCTAAACAAACACAGTTAGGGAAAAGAATAGAAATGAAATGAAAATATACAAAACGTAGCCAAGATATTTCATAAGAGTTATTTGCACATACCCCCTGTGTAAGTTGTAATGGCTAAAAAAACCCTTATGTTAGAACAATTAGCAATTAACCCCATATGTTGCATTTTATTTAGTTATTGTCCCTAGTGGAAATAAATATGTTAGACTAAAAGAAAATGACTATACTGCCCTTCAATTAATAGCATAAAATTAGAATTAATATATAATAGAGGCCAGCAATTTTACTAAATTTCTAAAACTTAAATTAGGGGACTCAATTGTAATTTTCCCAAACATAAAATCGAATTGGATTGAAATATAATTGATCCAAAACTTTGGATCAAATTTGCAATTTTTAAAATTTCTTAAATAAAGAAAAAAAACACACATGTTTTTATGGAATGAAAGGAAAAAGAAAAGAAAAAAGAGAAAATTGCATCTTCCCCCATTGAAATTGTCATGACCACCGGCAAATCCCCACTGCCACCAGCGGCAATCACCTCGTCAAGCCGCCGCCTCTAAACAGAGAGAAAGAACATATCTTCCCAAAAATTCTTCTTCTCCATTGAAATCACCACCACCACCAAAATCACAACAAACACCTCCTGCAATCACATCTTCACGCCGCCGCCCCTTCCTTCCACCGCGCGCCTCCTCCGCTCTTTTCATCCCCTTCACTGCCAACTTCTCCTTGCCAGTTCCACACCAGACGATTCTTCTTTTGAAATTCTATAATCTTAACAATCCTAACAAAATTACTAAACTCCTCGTCGGAGAAGAAATAAAAAGCAGAAAAATAACGGGGAGGTTTGGACCTGGAGGCATCAGGGGGGCGTTTTTTTTTCTAATGCAGTTTTTTAAATCCGTAAATAAAATGGGGTCGTTTTGGATAGTGTAAACAAAGTAGGGTTTTTCGCCACGTGGTCTGGCGACTCCAATTAGTGCCGCCGCGTGGCGTGGCGACTCCAAGTGTTTCTGCCACGTGCCGTGGCGACTCGGTTTAGCCGGTGATTAATTAATTATTTTTTTAACTCGAATTTGAATTAATGTTTTTGTTTTATTTTAATGAAATATTTGTGCGGTTGAGATTGATATAACGGATCCAACGGCTGGGGCAATTCGACTCTCTCTCCTCATTTATTATCCAGCTACCCCACCCCTCTCTCTCCTCAATTATTGTCAGCTGCCCTCTCTCCCCTCCCCTCTCCCCTCCCCTCTTCTCTCTCCCCTCTCTCTCCGGTTCATTGCCTCATTTTGAAAAAAAAAAAAAAACTCACAAAAAAAAACAAAAAACAAAAACAGCCCACCATTGTCCGGCAACTCGTCGGAGGTCAGTTTACCGCCGTCCGACCAACTCGCCGCCGCCCCACCCTACAGCCGCCGCCGCCGTCGTCGTCCGGTCCATCTATAAGGTTATAATTTATTTAATTATTCTTTATGTTTATTAATTAAATAATTAACTTTGTGTTTAAATATTGATTTAACTATAGCATCTATGTTTAATTATTTGTTTAATTATAATATATGTATTTAATTAATTATTTAATTATAGCATGTGGGTTTAATTAATTGTTAAATTATAGAATGTGTGTTTATTTATTCGTGACCAAATTTGTCACAGTCAGAAGAATTATGCATATATTACACTAAAAAGTTTCTTACACTAAAAACTTAAAACATAAATTTCGTTATTACTCATGAACCATTATTAAATACTTAAACATTGCATATCACATGTGATTTTATAGTGCTTAATTTTATGGTTAATGTCTAATTTGTATATTCGATTTGTAGTTCTATTAAATAAAATAAAATTAAAAAATCAATAATTAATAATTATTTCCTTAATCTTTTGAAGATTGATGGCGGCTAGAAATAATGTTAAAGTGTACGTGTACTTTGGAGGTTACATAATTCCCGACGATTGGGTAGCGAGATATAGTATTGCCCACAAAACTGTATTTCGAATTAAACGTGACATGTCCTTTGCTCAATTTTTGTCGAAGTTGTATCAACGTTTAGAGGTCGATATTAATGAGTTTGGTCTAAGAGTGTGTTGCAAATCCTACATTTTAAATGGAGGAAGAACGAAGGAGATGATCACTGAAATGACAACGGATGACGATTTACAATTGTATATCGATCCAGACGAAGGGAACGACTCAATCGAAGTATTTGTTGAGGTCGAACCGAGATACTTTGATAGTGCCCCACCACAAGTGAGTGTAGAAGCATTTGATTTGAATGAACCAAACAACTCACAACCACAAGTGACCCCCGATATTCTGGCGGCGACACAATGTATCCCCAACTTAGGGTTTGAAAACTATTGTGAGCCTAGTGGAGCGAGAGAGGTCCACATAGATCCCTATACAATTAACTATGGTAATTTAGGGAGATTTGTTGGTGAGTCGAGTGGGACGAGACCGAACATTTTCGAAGATGATGACCCAATAAGAGACTCCCTTGGGCCGAACAGTCCCGTGAATTCGGAACCATCCGATAATGAAACTGATGACGAAGAAGATGTAGATGTGCATGATGTCCAAGAGACGTTGTTGCAGCACAACGAAGGGATAGGGGCAGAAGCGGGGGAACAACCAACGTTGTATGAGTCAATTCCATTTTTCTCGATGTCATTTCCAGAAGTCGCGGCAGATTCTGTAGATGTTGGAAGGGGCCGATATGATAGGTTTTACGACAGCGATCGAGGTATTCTTGAAGTCGGGATGGTGTTTGAGGACAAAAAACGTCTTTGTGCTGCGGTGAGAGACCATTCGATTCGGTTTGCCAAACGGGAATTTACAGTTGTCGAAAGTAATAAGAAGATATGGAGTGTCAAGTGCAAGCATAGCACAACTGAAAGGCCTTGCAGATGGTCGTTGCGGGGTATTGAGAAATCTGGCAAAGATTTCTTTATGATTACGAGATATAGTGGACCCCACAATTGCATAATGGATGAAATGTCGAACCAACACAGAAATTTGGACAGGAACTACATTGCCACACTAATGGTTCAATCTGTTCGAGATGATCCAGCTTGTAAAATAACCCAAGTACAGAATACGGTTAGGTCTCAATTGGGATTTCAACTTTCAAGGATGCAAGCTTGGTATGGTTTGAAACGTTGCAGAGAGAACTTATTCGGGACTTGGGAGTCCTCAATGAACAAATTGCCCAAGTTTATGAAGGCACTCCATAGAACGAACCCGGATACGGCAATCGAGTTTGTATTGAAACCAACAGACATTCCAACACGAAAGATGATCAGATACTTCTTTTGGGCCTTCAAGCCATGTTTGGATGGATTCAAATTTTGTCGTAGAGTTATTAGTGTGGATGGAACTCATCTCTACACTAAGTACAAACACAAGTTGCTAATTGCGGTTTGCTTAGACGCCAATCAACAAGTGTTACCACTTGCTTTTGCTCTTGTTGACAATGAAACCACAGCGGCATGGAAATGGTTTTTTCAAATGCTTCACAGACACCTAATCTCTCAAATTCCACCGGGAGAAAGTGTTTGTGTAATTTCAGATCGAGCTCCAGGAATTATACGAGCGTTAGCGGAATTACCCGAATATGCAGCCCCTCACGTTTTTCATAGGTATTGCTTGAGACATGTGTGCTCCAATTTCAACAAATATTTTAAGAGTGTTGATCTGAAGGATCTATGCTACAAAGCGGGATCAGAAGCGCAAATGTGGCAAGATTATTGTCTGACGTGGTTAGGATATGCTCCTCCAGTGGGTGCTTTCAGGGGTTCACGACTCTATGCGACTGTTTTGACCGACTTAATAAAAAATAACGAGATTACTGATGTCAGCACGGAGCAGTGTGTTCAGCAGCACACCAGAGGTTTACTATTAATGCTACTTGGGGGGGTTATGTGTCCTGACACAACTTCAAATTCTTTTCCATTAATGTATCTCCGTCATTTTGAAGATCTTGGTGCCGTGCGTACATTTAGTTGGGGTAGTGCAGTTCTAGGGTACTTGTATCGTGAGTTATGCACTGGAGCTATATTGAAGAAAGTTGTGGATCGAGACGGCATTGCTGAGTTAGAGAAAAGAAAAGTGAACATGGGTGGTGCACTTACATTGCTACAGGTAATATGTCTTTCTACACTTTTAAAATATAAATAAATAGTTGATTATACTTGGATTTTTAATATTTTTTATATTTAATAATTAGTGTTGGGCATGGTCGAGGATACCTTTACTCGCTCCGACAATACATCCAGCAGTAGCAGATGATGATGATTTTTTTCCCCATCCTCCTTATGGTGCACGGTAAACATTTTATGTACTTATAATTTATTAATATGCAACTTAAAATATTGATTTAGCAAAATTTCATACAATATTACAGTTGGATTGGACCCGCTAGTTACGCTCGGTCCTCGCGAAACAATATACGTGTTTATCGTACGACCCTCGATCGGATGCTCTGGCATCAGGTTTTTATAAGTTAACTGCATTTACGTTAATGTTTGCGGTTTATTTAATTGTACATTAAATTTTTTTTTTCTTTTCTTCTAGTTTATATGGATGCCTTATAGTGAGCTCGATCCCGAGTTTGGCGCTTTGCTTGAGCATCCTGAGATAGTGCATCCACAGCTTTGGATGTCGAGTTGTCCTCTTATATTTTACGACAGAGTTGAGATGTGTCGTCCTGATAGGGTACTGCGCCAGTTTGGGAGGATACAGCATATTCCTCCACATCCTACTGATCACGATATTGAGATAAAGTTGCATTCTTATGATCGTCGAGGTGCTGTGGGGAGAGATTGGGCTATTTTTCACAATATCTATGTTGATAGATGGCATGCTCGACTCGATTCTTTCACTGACTATCCATTTATTGAGATTAGTGGACCTCAGACGGACCCAGGATACTACGATTGGTATGACAGGCACACGCGTCGTTTGATATCGCCGGTTGACAATCTTGATGATATTGGTTTTCAGATCGGAGACCCGATTTTACTGGATCTAGTGGTCAGTATCTTTTTTCAAAATAACCATTACTTTCGATGTTTTTCAATTTTTTTTTAAGTTTTTAAGTTCTTAAACATGTAATGCCTTTTATTTCAGGGTAATCAGCTTATATCCATGAGTCTTGCTGCTAGGGCTGTGTCTCGAGATGACGATCGGATTTATGATCGGTATCAGGACAATGCTACACGGATGTATGCAGCTGGGACTCAACTTTTGCGTAGAGATACTGATTCTTCCAACATACCTCCTATTCCTCCTATACCTTCTCAGACACAAGGTAGACGTACCAGAAGACGCTCTGGCACTGCCGAATTGGAGGATGACGTGAGACAGACGAGAGAGGGGAACTATTATGCATCTACGTCTCGGGTACCTCCTGCTGAAGATGTTGTCGGTCCATTGGCTTCACATACCCCTTTTTATGGACATGTTCCTATGCATGGAGGTATGGATGATTTATCTGGTACACATGGATTTATGGATATGTTCGGTGCGTCTACATCTCAGGTACCTACATATAGAGATTTATTTGGTCCATCTACGACTGATTATGTTCCAGATATTCCATGGTCCAATTCTCTAGCTACCCCATATCCTCCTGCTATTGATACTCAGTTCACTTCATGGGGTCCACATTTGGAGCTTAACTTGGGATACTCAAATCCCCAAGAGCGGGCTCGACCACAGTATAATGTTTCTCCTGTTCCATATCCAGCGGACGACACCGAGTTTGTTGATGACGTACCAGTAGAGCGTGACGTTCGTCGAGATGGTAGGCAGCGGAGGACTAGACGACCACCTGCATGTGGGACTGGTGGACATAGGCAGTGACTTTTTATGACCTTTTATTTTGTAGAACTTTTTTTTATTGTGTTGATAATATTTATTTTGTATGACTATTTTATTTGGTAAAACTTCTTTTATTTATTGTTTATGTATTCTTGTATTGCGTGAATTAGATAATTGAGAATTTTAAATGCTCATAAATACATTTTTTTTAATGTTTTTTCTAACAATACAAAAAAATTTGCAAAAAACGAAAAGAAAAAAAAAAAAAAAAAAAAAAAAAAAGACTGCTGTTGGAGTCGCCATCCGGCGTGGCAGAAATAATTGGAGTCGCCACGCCACGTGGCGGCACTAATTGGAGTCGCCAGACCACGTGGCGACGAACCTTACTTTGCTTACACTCTTCAAAACGACCCCATTTTGTTTACTAATTTCAAAAACAGCAGTAGAAAAAAAACTGCCCCAGGCATCAGGTACCTTGCATAATGGTGGGGCAGTTTTTTTTTTCTAGGATAGTTTTTAAGATTAGTAAACAAAATAGGGTATGTCGCCACGTGGCATGGCGACTCCATTTAGTGCCGCCACGCGGTGTGGCGACTCCATTTAGTGCTGTCATTGGAGCCGCCACGCGGCGTGGCGACTCCATTTGGTACCACCACGTGGCAGTCAATTTTTTTTTTTTTTAATTTTTTATATTCGGATTTTCAAAAAAATTTGTAATAAAAAAATGTACAACTTTAAAAATACCTAAACAATAAATAAAGGGAGTTTTACCAAATAAAATAGTCATACAAAATAAATATTTTTTTTCTCTGAAAAGCTCTATTTTCGATGGGGGTAGATATTTTCTTGGATTTTCACGGGTTGTTGATGTGTCTTGCATATTAATAATGAGCTTGAATCTTAGCTCCAAACTGAACCGAATTTCGTCGGAGAGAATGTCGGAGTGGTGGGGCGAAGTGGAGGCCGAGGATATGGAAGATGTGAGGCCGAAAAGAGTGTTCGCCGGAAGGAGAGCGGCGGTCAACTATGTTCATGACTTAAGGAAGAATAGGATATTTCTGAAACTTCAAGGGACGAATTGAAAAAAATTGAAAACTTTATTTGGAGCTTATTTTTGAAGTTTATAATTTAAGGGGTATTTGGGTCTTATCACGTCAAAATATTGAATCCCAATCGCATATTTGGCGAGAGCATCACACGACCAGTTAATAAGGATCTTAATATCGTTGACTATGCAGTGAGTACGTGCTAATTATTTTCACGTATAAATTTTTTTAGCCATTAGGGCATCTGTAGTGCCACTCCCAATTTGCTATTTTTGTCATAACATTAAAATATTGGGAGTGTTTGATAATTTTATCTCCTCTAGTGCTCTCCTCTAGTCTCCCCTAATGTGCCATGTGGCATGGGACTCCCAATTGGAGTGCTTAGAGCATCTCTAGTCACACCCCCTAAACCCACTTTCCCAATTAATCCCTAAACTATTGGGAAAAATAATGCTCTAGTGGGTTATTATAGAACCCCTATAATTTCCCTTAACCATTGGGATACCCTATCACACACCCCACAGTTGGGAGTTCTTTAGGAGAGAGAAAATGATGACTAGGAGTGAGAAAAAATGTTGGGGGTAATATTAATTATTTATTGTTTTATAAATTGTAATAAAATAGAAATATACATTTTTCTAATAATAATTATTTCTTTATTTTTTTTAAATAGTAATTCATTGTAATAAATATCAGAAAAAAATATAAATACATTAATCGTGATTTTTATCATTCTTTGAATGAACATTAATGTATAATTTTTTATTTTATTTTAATTTGTAAATTATTGAAAACCTTTAATCTAAAAAAATATGCTTGATTTTTTTAGTTTATCTCATTAATTTATTTTAAATTAAAATCAATTATTTGTTACCTTAAGTATATTATATGTATGTTATTTAAATTTAAATTGAAATATGTTATTTAAATTTAAATTGAAATATGTTATTTAAATTTAAATTGAAAATATGTTATTTAAATTTAAATTGATAAAGTATCTTGTAAAAATATACCTTAAGTATATTATATGTATGTAATATGTTATTTAAATTTAAATTTAAAATTATTAATGACTTAGATAATATGTTATTTAAATTTAAATTGATAAAGTATCTTGTAAAAATATTATAATTAAGTATAAAAAAAATATTATATTTAATTATAATTTTAATATATGAGGATAAGTTTTAGGGAATACTAACACTCACCACTAGAGAAACTTTTATTTTAGGGGAATTAAAAGTGGGTTATTTTTTTAGGGATTGGATAAATTGATGATGTGTTATATGGGTCCCACTATTTAGGGGGTGATTTTGGGGTAAATGACTAGAGAGCCTGACCCCGTCGCTCACTGGTGGCCGCCTTAGAAGGAGAGGGTGTGCGATTAGGAGGGGCATGGCTCGTGGACTGTTAAGTGTATATTTATACACTTAATTGTACCTTTTAATTGGAGCTTTTGGTGTGTTTTAATGATAATTGGTGCTTAAAATGGTTGTTATTTGTATTTTAGGTGCAAATTGAAGAATTGGCAACTTATGGGGTGAAAACTGCAAATTCGGAGAAAAAGTGGGCCAAAAGTGAAAAAATCAGATTTCTGCAGAATTGAAGACCGCGCGGCCGTGCGGATTTCAGGCGTAAATCTCACACGGCCGTCCGGATGGTCGAGGTGGCGCAGTGAAGGAAGTTTAATTACACAAGGAAACCCGCCCTATTATATTTTTGCACCCTATTTAAAGGCCAAAAGCACACAATTAGGAATTATCTTTTATTATCTTTTATCTTTAGTTTTTATTTTTCATCTTTCTACACGCAATCAAGGAGCACAAGAACGAAGACGAAGATTTGACGACTCTTCATCATAGTTCTCCTCTTTTATTATCTTTTATGATTTTTCATAGTTTTATTATGTTTTTCGTAACGAACATGAGTAGCTAAGTTTTTATTCTAGGATTTTATTGGAACCCTATGTGGTAATTCGAACCTATTTTTCTACGTTTATGCAAGTTTAATTCTTCGATTATTTCTTCTATCTTGATCTTATTTAGCGCATGAACGTAGCTAATTTATGTTGTTATTTGTTATTGTTAGAATTGATTGACAGATCGTTTTAATAATTAGAACAGGGATAGAAGAGCCTTCGAGTAGTTTTCACCGGGTGAGTGTGTTAATTGCATGTATTATCGTAGACATACAGATAATACCTTAGGTAGCCGTTTACGAGACTTGTTATTTAATGCTTTATTTCTACTAGGTTTGCATAGACATATAGTGAATCTTTTATGAATAATAGGCTTATAATACAGCGACAGCTGGTTATGAGTAATTTCGTGTCTTGGGTTAATAATCGGGAATCGTAACTTGCATGATAGGAGAATAATTGGGTGAAGAATTATCGCATAGGGGGAAGATAAAATCCTAGATCCGTTTTATATTGATAGTTTCTCGTGATTAATTGCTTTCTTAATTAGTTTAATTTATTTAGTTAATTAATTTGACAACCCTGCGTAGGCTGAATAAAAATCATAATTGTTAGGATTTGGTACTTAGGATTAAATAATTTGCGTATTCCCTGTGGGATCGACATCCGACTCTTACGAGTCTACTTTACTACTTGTTTGCGATACGTACACTTGCGTGTTGGTATTTAGCACCCAACAAGTTTTTGGCGCCGTTGCCGGGGAATACGGCTAAATTATTTATTTATCCTAATATTAAATTTGAGCAATTTTTCTTACTTCAGCCATTTTTTTTATTTTATTATTTTATTCTGTTTTAGGTACTTTTTATGCGAAGAAGACACGACACGAACTTGCTACCTCTGGACCCCGAAATTGAGCGAACGTTTAGGCAAGCCAGGAGAAATCAACGGTTAGCCCAAAACACTCCGGCAACGATGGAAGACGAGAATAATCGTGTGGGAGGTGACCAAGGGCGCCTACCGAATGCGGCAGGGGAAATCGTTATCGAGCAAGAGCAACGCCAGCTAATCAATCCACCGCCTCGTCAACGAGCACTGCATGAGTACACTGTCCCGACACTCAATGGGTTCCAATCAAGCATCCAGCAGCCCCCCATTGAAGCCAACAATTTCGAGATTCGAGCGGGACTCCTCACGATGCTCCAAAACAATGGTCTATTCAGCGGATTGGCTCATCAAGATCCACATCTTCACTTGGTCAACTTTCTCGAAACGTGTGACTCGCACAAGATGAACGGAGTAACACCCGAAGCATTGCAACTCCGCTTGTTCAAGCACTCTCTACAAGGAGCAGCTCGAGAATGGTTGCAAACTCGTGCACCGCACTCCATCTCGTCGTGGGCCCAGCTAGCTCAACTTTTCATGAACACATACAACTCCCCAACAAAAACTGAGAGAATCCGGCGAGAAATTCAAAACTTCATACAAGAAGCCGGTGAAGCATTATTCGAGACGTGGGAGCGGTTCAAACAGTTAGTAAGAAGGTGCCCGAATCACGGACTACAAGAGTGGCTCCAACTGCAAATATTTTACGATGGACTGCAAGACAACTCGAGGACAGTGCTCGACTCTGCAGCTGGAGGTATGTTCATGAGTTTGACCTATGACGAAGCATACGAACTCTTGGAGCGAATCGCTCGAAACAAATACATGCGGGCATCGGACCGGTCGAACAGCGGAGCAGTCAAGACGGGGGGAATTTTGGAGTTAGACGGAGTCACTGCAATCACGGCCCAATTGGAGAAGCTATCGAAGCAAGTAGCGGCTTTCCAGACTCAGCAAGTCCATGCAGTCCAAGCTCCCGATCAAAGCGTAGACGAAACGGAGTCGCTAAATTATGTGCATGACGCCAACCGACAACAGAGGAACCCGTACTCCAACACGTATAATCCGGGATGGAAGGATCATCCTAATTTTGGGTGGGGAGGAAATCAGCAGGGACAAAGGCAAGCACCCCCTCAAGGCCAACCGCCTAATTATTCACGACCAGCGCCCGGATTCCAAAATGCACCTCAAGCACCACCTCAAGGCGGAGACCTCGCAAATATCTTGGCCCAATTTATGACGACCACCCAAGCATCCATTCGAAATTTGGAAACACAGATGGGCCAATTTGCGACCCAATTGAACGCGAGGCCAGCCGGTACACTACCGTCAAATACGGAAGACCCTCGAAAA